AATTACCAAGGGGTCCAAGGTAAGTAACTTTTGGGAATGATGAACGCCCTCATGATGTTGATGGTGGCGATGGATTTACAGGTGTATATCAAAACATAACGTTTTAGATTTTAAATATATATTATTTAGTGTACTGGTATATCAACTGTCAAATTGTCAAATATATGTCAAACATATATAAATATGTACTTGTATCTCACAGATGAATAAAAAAGATAAATACCTATCAAAAAATGAACAAAAGACCTGAATAGGCAATTCATAAATGAATATAAATGATAAACATAAAAACCAAAGCTATTTAAAATCACATAACCAAAGGAATAAAAATAAAAATGTATTTATACCATTTTTCATATTGAATTTTATGCCATTGGGTATTCACAAGTTAAAAGGTAAATGTAAAGACTCCTGGTCATACCGAGTGTCGATAACATTTTGGAGGAAGGGGAACCCTCGTACGGTGCTGGTGGGCGTATAAAATAGGCAAAACTTTGTGGAAGGGCAATTGGACAACATGTAGTAAAAACCTAAGATATAAAGCTTTTGACACAGTAATTCCACTTCTTGGAATAAAACCTAAGTCAACAGGAATGCACACAAGGATTTAGAAACAAGAATATTCATCATATCTATTTTTTCTAATAATAGTAAAATATTGCAAAGACCCTAAAAGTCCAACATTAGAGAACTAGTTGAATAAGATACAGTACCTCCCACAAATGCAGATATTAAAAATGAAATTGCTGAAGACCATTTAGAGACACGGAAAGATATTGTTATATACCATTAAATGAAAAAAGTTACAAGCCGTATATAAAGTACATTTCATTTTAGACAAAAGATATGTACAATATGTATATTAATGTCTAGGAAAATGGTATTTGCCCTGATTTTCTCTGGGTTAGGTAATTATAGATAATTTTTATTTTTTCTTTTTGTTTCCATTTTTAACTGTTTTACAATGAAGATGTATTGCTCTTATACTAAAATCTCCAATAAAAGTTATTTTTCAAAAATATCAATGCTAATGCCCTATAAATGATACTGTGACAAATATTAGTCTTGGGCTTTAGTGGCCAAAAATAATATCTAACAGAAGTCTGCAAAAAGTTTTAGGTGCAGCAGGGAGGCCTGAAATGCTGCTGCTCTATAAATGGAGCCCTGTGGAGTACTACTTGAGCCTGGACCACCAAAGCTGGTAGTGTGGGCACTGGCCTTGCCCTCCAGAGCAGTTGGCATGGTTTTGGCCTCCTTGCAAAAAGGATAGCTGTAAACAAGGACCAAAAAAAAATGAGCACTGTCTTTTCTGGGAAAATGGATCCAGTTAGGTTGGGTCCACTTTGCATGGAAGAGCCTCCACGGGTTATTTTCCATTTCTAAGCCACAGAGTCAAGAGTGGGGGAGTGGCAAGGGACTCTCTAGTCCTGTTTTCATTTTATGGTTATGAAAAGTGAGGCCCAGATGAGCCCATGCATGTACTGGTCCATCAACATTCCTTCTGGAAAGCTGTAGCAGTGGCTTGAACTAAAATCAATGCCAGAGGGTCTGATAACCAAAACAGCCCTTTCTGGAATAGACTCACCTACTGGGAATCTCAACACTCAGGTCTTAATGAAGAACAGTAGCTCCAATACATGGCTTCAAAAACCCCAACTCTACCTTCTTCCCTTCCTTCCATGAAAACATGAGAATCGAGGTCCATGAGCTACTGTCCCTGTGCCACAGAACCTTGAAGTTCCCTGAATCTGTGACAGCCAGCTAACCTCGTTCATGGGAGAACTGCAATCACTGGACTCTCACACTATACCAGGGTTGGCAAATGGCTTTCATCCTGGATATCAACTGCCACCAGGCTTGGTGGGAATGTTAAAATGAATTCCAAGGCAGTACCTGGGCTGAGTGTAAAAGAGCATCATGACTGTTTCTGGATATCAACTGCCACCAGGCTTGGTGGGAATGTTAAAATGAATTCCAAGGCAGTACCTGCGCTGAGTGTAAAGGGATGTCTTGGCTGTGGGAGGAGCTACTAGCAGGATCTTTGCCACGTATCTCCATCCTGGTCTAGAATATCTGTTACCCTCAAAATAGGGTTTCTTCGTTAAATCTCTCCCACTATTGATTATTCCTATGGAATGTCAGATTAATTCTTCCCAAACATTACTTTCACGATGTCATTCTCCTACTTAAAAACCCTCTGAAAGCCTGTGCCCATTTCCCACATAGTCAATCTACTTCTTTAGTCCAGCTTTCAAGGCCCTCTGCAATCTGATGCCACTTAAGTGTTCTAATTTCTTAATGACCCTCACAAAACCTCCTCTCTGGCCTCCCTGGCTTATGTCGTGTGCCCAGAGCACACACTGTGGTCTAAAAGAGCCACCTGTTGGAGCCAGGGATGGGAACCTGTCCAAACGGGAGCAGGACGAGTCACTAGCAGGGGAGCTCAGGAATGGCGGAGGTATGAGAATTGTTGGGAGGAGGGTTAGGGGAGCTCAGGGTGGAGGGAGGTATGGGGATTACTGAGGTGAGGCTCTGGGAGAGCTCAGGATGGAGGGAGGTATGCGAATTTGGGGGGGAGGGTTTGGGGAGCTCAGGAAGGAGGGATGGTGTGAGAATAGTTGGGGTGAGGGTCTGGGAGCTCAGGATACCAGGAGGGCATTAGGATAGTTGGGGTGAGGGTCTAAGCCAAATCTGAGTGGACGAGCTCTGGCTGAGGCTTGCACATTTTGAAGGCCTAGTTTCTGTCCCATTTCAGTCGCCCATCATCAGTCTTAGAGCAGTGGTGCTCTACAGCTGTTTCTGAACAGATAACTGATAGCAATCCATGCATCTTCATCTCAGGGTGCATCTTCCTCACATGGAGCACCCATTTCTCTTCCTTTCTGCCTATTCGAATCTCACCCATTCTTCTTCTGTGCTCAGCTCTGGTCTGTCTCAAATAACTGACTTCCCAGAGTCCTGGTACTTGGCTTCACGCCCTAATTCATCTCCATAACTCCATGGAGATCACCCCTAGTTCCCTAGTGCTGGCGCAACTCTGACATTCACCTCTAGGGTCCATTTTGTCCAGGCAGACCTTCAGGGACTTTATGGAGACTGACTTACTGTGTCATTCCAATGGAGCGGTCTGGATGTGGACTAGGGTATTAGGGTGTCTCTTAACTGTTACATTTAAATGCCAGTCTAAGGTAACAAAGCATCATAAACTACCAATGGAATCCAGCAGCATAAAGCACAGTAAATTCTTATTGCCCATTGCTAAAATGAGACAAAATATTATTCCAGAATAAAGGAGAAAGTAAAGCCATAACAGAAAAATATGAGCAGGTTAAGTTTTCCAGCATGCTGAATGGCACCCGAGTGACTCAAAGAGTTATTGAACTTTGAAAATAAACAATTGCTGTATACCCTACCAGTGACTGGGGTGTAATTAACAGTTATAATAATTTCTTATAGTGATGAGTCTAAAATAAAGAAGTTCACAATGCACACATTTAATGTGGAAAAAGTTTACCATTCGTAAGCCAAAGAAAATATGCAATTTGAACCTTCTATGAATTCTGATTAACATCATGTGGAAAAAGTCAATGCCATGCTTGTACAAGTTATGGGAACAGAACAGGGCTACTTGTTACCATATCTGTGTCTTATTTTTACTCAGATCAGAAATAGAAAAATCAGAAACTTTTCTATATACCGATAAGCTATGAGGATTCTTCACTAATTTCAGATGATAATGAAAATGGAAGATACTCTTTCTGTGCTCTAATCCTAAAGATGGCAGGCCATGTTGATAAGTTATTACCAATATGACTGCAAACCCATTGTCCTATTCTTTGCTATTTGGCAGGAAAAAGAATAGAGAAACTTTAAACTTTGAGTCAAGGGAATAATTCTAGCTACTGTTATCAACATTTGAGGTCATCTAGAATTAGCATGAAAATCTCCCCCACTTTGTAGGCCTTTTTTTCTTTTTTAAAGAGCAGTTTTGGGTCTTAAGTTCACAGCACAATGAAGAGGAAGGTATAGATATTTCCCATACACTCCTTGCACAAACGCGTGCATAGGCTTTCCTACCCGCTCAGGGCTTTGGAAGGCAGAAGAATTCTTCTCCACCCTTAGGCCTTTTTTTCTTTTTTAAAGAGCAGTTTTGGGTCTTAAGTTCACAGCACAATGAAGAGGCAGGTATAGATATTTCCCATACACTCCTTGCACAAACGTGTGCATAGGCTTTCCTCCCCGCTCAGGGCTTTGGAAGGCAGAAGAATTCTTCTCCACCCTTACCACCTCCAGAGGTCATGATGGGAACGTGGAGTTTCCTCTAGCACCTCCATAATTTTGATATGAAGAGCCCAGGACTCGGACACCCTCACACAACTCCCTGCACCCAGAGGGCACCAGATGTGTGGCCAGTAACTTGAAGGTTCCCAATGATAGATGCCAGGGAGGCTGTACCTGGTGGAAATATTTAAACACTTGCCTTGAAGAGTCTATCTGGGTTGGTTTTAGGCTCTACCTACAGAAGGCTGTGGCTTAAATAGAATCCTCTGGCTCCTAGCAGGTGCTGATACTGCAGCTTTCTCCTTGAAAGCTGACTGTAGGTCTAGTTTAGGTGGGAGAAGGTCATGGGGGAGTACTGGGGAATGGTTAGCAAGGGGAGAGGAGATCCAGGGACTGTTCTTTAATGCTGTGTCTTTCACAAAGTTTCACGAGTCAGTCTGGATCGAGAGGATCTGGACTGTGGCATCAGCCCAGGAGGATTCAGAATGGAGCCATGCTGGAATCGAGACAAGCTATAGAGTCCAGACCAAGAACTGCACTCACCTCATATGGAAAGTCAGCCAAGTTTCCACTGGTGAGTCTGGATTCTGCAGGCAATTTAGCGATTTCCTGTTGGCCACCCCCCGCTGCTGCCTCCCTCCCACCTGCAAGCAGTCACCCATCCATAAATCCTGTCCAGCCCTGGATTTCTGCCCAATGTTTCAGAAGGCCGGACTCACCGAGAAGAGCAGAATTCCCAGGATCCAGGACCAGCTGTGTTCCCAGAGGAGACATCAGCACCGAAGGAAGGTTCGGTCCAGTGGCTGAGAGCAAGGCCCTGATGTCTTCCAACTGTGTGGGGACTTGGGGGGGATCTGTGAGAAGGCAGATGGCGAATCAGACAGGTTTAAGCACTCAGGCTTAAAGGGAAGACCAGAGGTGTGTGTATGTACATGTGTGGGTAGATAAGATGGGCATTGCTGCTGTTTCCTTTTAACATCATTTTTCCTATAGAAAAGTGTACCAATGAAGGTGAGTCAAATATTAATTTCAAAAATTAATCAAATATTAATTTCAAAATTAATATTTGATGCCTGAAATAATAAGGGCATTATTAAGAACCAGGCATGTTAGTTTCAGGAGTTCCTTACTTTATATCACAGTGCCATTGGGTCTCTACAAGTCTGTAGGTAAATTAAATCATATTAAAAAGACACTTTTTAAAAAAGCCAACTTTAGCATTTACTATCTGCCAAGTCCCATGCTAAATAGTTTTCATTCCATTTATTTATTTAACTCTTATCCTTTAGAGAGAGGCACTTTGTTATTATACCAACAGGTAGAGATGTGCCACAGGAATTTCTTATTTAAAAGGACCCTATGAGTGGCTTCTTCTATGAAGAAAAAGATCTGGTTGTGAAGTTGACAAGTTAATCTGCTCTGTGTTCTGGATTTCTATGCCCAAGAAGGAACCAGATAAGCAGAACAGAAAGAAAAGTTTATTATGAGATGGTTTGTTATTCAAAAGCTTGCATGGAGTCAGGGCTGAAGTCATCAGAGGTCACAGCTCACCAGTGCCAAAAGTGATACAAATGGGAACTATAGTGGCTTGCTTATCATTTCCACTGGACAAATAAGGAGGCAAGCACCTGCTGAGCTTAGTGGTGGGATGACCTCAGACTCTGCTGGAAAAGCAGCAGAGCCCCTTCGCACTCTTCCTGTATCACCGCATTTCACACTCCAAGGTCAGCTCCCACCTTATTCTCCAGAGCACTTGCTGGAGTAGGAGAAGCAGGAGCATTGCTCTTGTGATTGATGCTCCTTTCAACAGCATTCAGGGAGGGCCCTACTATGTGCTTGGCATCTTGTTAGGCACTTTATTAGGGATGGCAAATAGACAAGTCATGATGGTGCCTGAGTCTACTTCAGAAACATACCTTCCATCTTTCTGCCTTTGACTACCAAAGACCATTGCATAGAGAAAAAAATGATGAACTTGAGATTATATATACATATACACACATATACATATTCATATATATGTGTATACACACACATATACATATTCATATATATGTGTATACACACACATACACGGTAGACACTTTGTATCTGGGGATTCTGCATCTGTGAATTCGACCAAATGCAGATTGAAAATATTTGAAAAAAGTAATTGCATCTGTACTGAACACGTACAGACTTTTTTTTCCTTGCAATACAGTATAACAACTAATCATTTTTTCCTTGCAACACAGTATAACAACTAATCTTCCCTAAATGATACAGTATAACAACTATTCACATAGCATTTACATTATATCAGGTATTATAAGTAACCTACAGATGATTGAAAGTAAACAGAAGGATGTGGGTAGGTTATATATAAATATTACACCATTTTATATCAGAGACTTAAGCATCCCTGGATTTTGGTATGTGTGGGAGGTCCTGGAACCAATCTCACAGGGATACTGAGCAACGACTGTATATAAAATATAATAATAATTAAAAAACCCCACAAAAATCTCTCTTCATATGGTATAGGGAAAAGCACCATGCCTGGGTTCAGGAATCCTTAGTTTGAGCTATGGCTCTTTCATTCACTATTTTGGGCAAATCATTTAATCCCTCTGAGCCTTAAGTTTCCTTATCTATAAATGAAGTTCCTTTCCAAGATCTCTTTCTACTCTGGAATATCATGATTTTAGGAACTGATGGTGGCAGTTTACTCAAAGTTAGTCTTTCTTTCTCCCCTCTTCTTAATATTTCTTCTTGAAACTCAGAAGCCTTTGCTGTTTACTAAGAGGAGAAAGGGGATGCTAGGTCCCATCTTCAAAAACAATCTGCTCTCCTTGGGCCAAATGTCAGCCCCTCCTAATGTCCTTACAGCTTCTACAGTATTTTTCTTCTTTGGTGCATATCGATTTGAACTTTCCAGAAAAAATATAAATTCCTCAGGGGCAGAGGTAACCTCTTGTATTTGTCTTAAAGCTCTACCAGTGTCCAGATGACATGGGACTTAGAGGCAACACTTAATGACTATTGCTCCAATGACCAGATGAGTAAATGAATGAAAGTCTGTCTCAATACACTTCAAGTCTTCACACTACAGGTTAAGTCACAGAACTTGGCATGAAATCTCAGTTTTGGGATAGTGGGGGGACGAGGGCTTTTGCCACACACCCCTGACATCTGCACCCAGCCCAGCAATGACCAAGCCACTG